ATATTTTGTTTCCTTTTGGTTATTATGCATTCATATCAGTGATATGTTACACAAAGTTGTGAGCCATATTGATGATTTTATTCAAGTAATTTATTGACCTTCATTCTTTTTCCCCCTTCTGTGCATTAGCATCACAACATGCGGCTACATTGTCCTCCAACTTTTCAAAGTATCATATCAAGATCCAATCTACCACGTGCTATTGAACTCTCACAGCAAGTATGGAATTTCAACTTCACTGTGATAATTCATCTTCTATGATCCTGGTTAGCTTACAGCTGTCTAAACTTCAGCTTGTCATCTGGTCATTGATTTTCCATTCATAATTCACTTGTTTGAAATGTAGGAAGATTTGAAAATTCATTGAAGTTGTATGTGCAGCTTGGCTGGCAATATTAAAATGTTCCTTCTGTCTATATGTAAGGTACCACAATTAAGGGGACAGCAGGATAGCAATTAGAGAAGTTATTTTGCTTTGAATAAAATAACTCATGTGCTGACTTCTCTGCAAAATGAAACTGTAACCTGAAGTTCTTTATTGTATTTCTGATTTCAATTGCTTGGACAGTAATCTCCTTTTGTTGTCATCATTGTCGTGGTCCTGAATCGTACAATGCAAACAATTTAGAAAATCAAGTGACGGTTTTATTTTGAATGATGCACTAGACACTTGATGATGCACTAGGAGTCAGCAGCTCGGTGTCAGCAGTCATTTGGGCAGATTAGCTCAGGGCCAAGCCCTTTGAGAACGGACTGAGGTCAAGCATCTAAAGGTTCAGTAGTCTCTAGCAGGGCACTATCTTCAGCTTGGCATGCCAGGATCAGTGTCAGCAATGATCAGATCAGCAGCAGGAGGATCAGGAGGTGAGAGGCCCCCTCCAGGGGACAGGAAAGGGACAGGGAAGGTTGTTGTGCCTCAAAAGAAAATCAAGAAACCAAAGATCTCTAGAGAAACTCGTATGGCAGTACAAGCAGCAGTAGCAGTAGCAGAGCACCGAGAACATGAGGGGGACAGATGTATTCCAGTGAGGAGCCGCATTCCACTCAGCAGCAGCCCCAGATCCAGTCTACCCCTCGTCACAAGTCTGGTTGTATTCACTCCCACCAGCTTGAGGTGATTGGTGAGGAGGGCACTCAATGGGCTCAACAGAGGGAGCGTTAGAGGCGGCAGGAGCAGGAGCAGGAGAGACAGCCAGAGCCAGCTGGATCTCCTCTACCCATAGTTGCTCGGCTTCTAGATCTTAGAAGAAACAAAATTCAGAACTTAAGATTTGTGTCACAAGACGAATGATTCACAAAACCAAGGAATACAGCACGTGTACCCTTCTGGGCTGATTTGCAGGCCCTCTTCTATAGGGATATGACTGTTGAGATCCTGGCAACATCTGTAGGAGTAAGTGAGGAAGAAATTAGGGCACACATCTGGTGGTGCAGCGCGTCTAGTTCTGCGTCTGTTGGGTGCTGGCCCGCTCTGGCGATCTACATGTGTGCATACACTTTGACTAGGGAGTGCTCAGCCGTTTGGGCACTGACCGCCCGTTGCGTGATCCACATCTGACTGTTGGAGTTGTCTTACATGACAAAGATAGATAGCGCTGGCTAGGTACGTGCGTGCCCGCGAGTCAGAGCGCGTGGGGAGCAACACTTGCTGTAATATACTGAAACAAGGTGAAACAAATTGAAACATACGCTTGCAACATATGTGTATAGCCATTGCAACATATGTAACATTCAGTTAAAATACTTGCAACATACATCTGAAACATTTGGAACATACATTTGCAATATACGCGTATAACCACTGCAATATATGCAACATCCAGATAAAACATGCAACATCCAAATAAAACAGCTGAAATATTTTGAAGATATACTTGCAACATACGTGTATAGCCATTGTAAAATATGCAACTAGAAGAATACCCCGCGCGTTGCTGTGAAACTTTCTTAGAAATAAAATTGTTGCATGTATAAATTAAACCTATATGTTCTTACATCAATTCTCACCAAAATTAGACAAGGCAATGAAAGAATCCAATGAAAAACTAATAGAATTAGATCAAATTATAAGATGATGGGATGGCAAAACAAATAACAATATATGAATGCCTATATTTCTTATATATTGAAATTAAATTGTGCTTAGTGGAAATGATGTGAACAATGAAAGAATCCAATAAAAAAACTAACAGAATTAGATCAAATTATAAGAGGATGGAATGGCAAAACAAATAACAATATATGAATGCCCTCTATATTTCTTATACATTAAAATTAAATTGCGCTTAGTGGAGATGGTGTGAACAGCTTGCATTAAGAGATTGAAAATTAGTGGATGACATGGCTATTAGTGGGAGGTGACGTGGATAGGTAGTGAGAAATGATGTGAATGTTTTGCATGTTGAGATAAACTTGTAGTAGGGAGATTGAAAATTAGTGGATGACACCACTATTAGTGGGAGGTGATGTGGATAGGTAGTGAGAAATGTTGTGGATGTCTTAGATGTTGAGATAAATTTGTAGTGGGGTTTAGCTTTATAAGAGATATAGATATTTAGATGAAACACATGCAACATAAAACATACATCTGAAACGCATACGTCGGCGCGGAGCTCGATACCCACGGTCACCCATCACGAGAGCAGCAAATGGTGCATGCAGATGCAGGCCCCGCGCCCCTCTCACGAACTCCCAGCTCTCTTTTTGGTCACCGTGCATGCACGGCCCCACGCGTCGCATACACCCCATGCCGAGCGAGTGATCGCACGTGCTCCCATGGGTCGGGACCGTGGTCGTCCGTCTCCGCTTTGCCGACGTGAAAAGACGGGTGCAGGCCCTGCAACATGTGCCTCTCTTTTTTTTCTTGATCATCACGTCGCGCGGGTCAATCCGTTCGGACCGACCGACGCCCTCAACCAAGCATTACCTATAACGATGGGCTGCCCACATTGGGCTGATCATTCCTAGGACTTTATGCTTGCTGTAGCAACTAAGTAGATGGCAACGAAAAACAAGAAGCAAAAACTAGAGAGAAAATAATAGATGTAAAATAACATAATAGATTGACCTGTACTCCCTCCGTCCCAAAATAAGTGACGTTTTTTATTTTTAGATGTCTTGTTTGACCGTTCGTCTTATTCAAAAAATTTGTATAAATATTATCTATTTAGTTATGACTTATTTTAACATTAGATACACTTAATAATAATTTATTTATTTTAGAATGTGCACAAAAAAGTTGAATAAAACGAATGGTCAAACATGATATAAAAAGTAAAACACGTCACTTGTTTCGAGACGGATGACTATGTAACTATGTGTTATGTCAATCGGTCGTCACTTTCCTACATAAGACTCCGAAGTCTAATCGAACTTCCTACGCCAAACCGGCCATATTATCAATTTTGTAGAAATGTATTCGGACTCGATGAAACTCCCAGCCAACAAGTACGCCGCATACATGCACCTTGATGTTGCCTCGTTCACCTACACCATGGTCAAATCAGCATTGGCCATTAAACAAATCCATTCTGTTTTCCCTGGACGACATCAGCAAAGCTGCTTGCAAGTGAACTCCATCTTCGAGTACCAAACAGATTCCACCGCACACAGCCCAGTGGCAGGACTCTGTGCAGCCCAGACTGAATTCTCTGAAGAGTTCAGACAACTCTCTCCGAACGTCTAATGAGCTCTGGGAAGCGTAGACAAAATCACCTGGGGCTGTTGGACAGGGCAGACAAGTCTCTCAAGAGTAGGTAGACGAAAGCTAGAAAACCCAGACAAAAATCCTGAAAGTTGCACTCATCTGTGGTATCTCAAACATGTTTGTGGTTAACAGTAGAATAAAAATCCCAATAAAATGGTTAGACCCAAATATAATCTCTGAGTCATACGGTCGGCACGCAGTAGAAGGAGCAGGCAGAGATTCCGGGAAAAAAAAATCAGGTGCAGCCTCCCTGCACCGACGCCTGCCCACTCGAATGCATGCCACGTGTCCCAGAAAATTCATCGCACGGTCAAGAGATACTCTAGAAATAGGCAACTGATTTTCTAGGATACGTGGCATCCATCCGAGTGGGCCTGCACGAAGGCGCCCGTAAAGGAGGCTGCACCCAATTTTTTTCAGCCGAATGGGCCTGCACAGAGGCGCCGAGGCGCCGGTGCAGGGAGGCTACACCCAAATTTTTTTTCTTCCAGATTCGAGGCCCAGCAGCGCATGAAAAGGCACTCCGGAACGTTTTGCTAGAGCAGCTACGTGAGGATCGGGCACAGTCGACGCATCAGTTTGCTTATCTCTACCGGCTTGTCACCACCTCAGCTCATGTTATCATCACTCACCCCCTAGCTGCACAGCCGTCTCTGATGGTTGTACAGGGCAGAGTTCTCACAGCAGCAGGTTCCCGTAGCTCTCACTCCAGAGACAAGAAGAGGAGATAAAACAAAAGCCAGGTAGAGAGGCGGTGTCGGTAATGGCAAGGTACAGGAAGAGGAGATGGTCTAACCGGTGGAAGAAAGATGGGAGAAAATAAAAGAGAAGAAAAAGAAAAGGAAAAATGTATCACTAATAACAAGAATCCCACATGTCATAAGAAAGTATGGGGCTCATAATTAAGGATTGTTGCTAGAGTTGGAGAGTAAAGGCCCCAACTTTATGAGCTATTGCTGGAGTTGCTCTAGTTCCTGCACATTACAATCACATGGGCATCTGCGACAAAAGCACTGCTTAATTGATCCATACTACAATATCAATTCCTTCCTCTGCAGAAGTAAAGTGTGGAAGACAAAATTTTCATGATTAAACCATCGTTTGCAACTGTCTGTAATACAAATGTAACGCGCAAAACACTTGAGATTTCAGATGCACAACTTCTTGGTCTAGCACTTGCTTCTGCTCCCTGCTTCAGCCTTGTGACATGCATGGTTTGCCTACAGTCAAATGAATTTGCACAAAAGAATCGACAGGCTACAGATGACATTAGCTACTAAGTTAAGGTGACTAATCATGGCTTCTGGTGCATCGTTGGTTGGTCCTGCAATTTGTTTGGACTCTCTTGCTCAACTTTCAGAGCGTTTGGTTCATCTATGGCCATCGGACTAGTGTCATTCGGCTGCATGCAACAATAACTTCATAAAAATATGCTTTGGTACACCGGACCACACTAATGTAAGTAATATGAGCATGAAGCTGTTGATATATTTAATGTTCTGATAAATAGCACTTACAAAGGTTTGTTTCCAGGGACCAACTCCATCAGCCACAGGTCCAATACCTCTAGAATGTTCTGCAGCTACACTATTGACATCCTGCAGAGTACAAAAACAAGAAAGTCAGTAATGGAGAATGATATATAACTAGAGAAAAAGAAAAGTTAATTAGGATAATGTTCTTGCTACAAGCCTATAATTGCTCCAACAAGAATCAGTAAAATAGATGAATGAAAAATGGAGTCATGATCTGCCAGGAAACATAGGAATTGCTAAAGCACATGGGGAGAAAACACTAACCTAAAGATGTTAGAGACCATTACACCACATCCTATGTAAAGCATATTACTAGCATCAAATATTCGAGAAATTTAACTTGCAAAAAACTTCGATCAATCTCAAGCATCACAACAGAAACTACTCTTTACTGTAACTCTTTTACTGCATAGGCATAGCCCTATCAATCTCAGAAACCTAATTAGCAAAGCATAAGTTGCCCAGCGCCTATATCAGATGCTGCCACACTGTACATGAGAGAAAACAACACGGTGGGGGTAGATACTGGACGATCTCCACTTTCATCTCTACTAATATCTAAGTCATCTCCAGATTCATAACTACATGAGCAATGCAAAACAAGGCAAAGATGCTGCCCTACAGTTTGGTCAAGTCATAAGGGTATTTGGCATAGTACTGGCCCCAGTTTGCCACAAAGGAGCTGATTCCAATCCCGTTTGGTCCAGGCACAGCATTTTTGTCTCTCAAGTCAGGTTTCATGTCAAGCCATACTACATGAACACATTGTACCCTGCATAATCTTCAGGGTACCTGATCCCAACTGTCAAAGGTAGAACTGTACCATGTGCGTTGGTATATGTTACACCAGCATAGTGGTGCAATATAGTATACAAATAGATATTACTCGCTCCATATCTGTTTTCACATTTTTCTTCAAAATCAGAGTCATACATGGTCACGTTGGATACAAATATGAATGCGGATTCGGATTGTCTCAGTTATATTTGTGTGTTGAATACTAGATGAGACAGACGCGGACAATGTTGGTCACGGATATTTCTTTTGACATTGAGTAAAATAGACAACCCTATATAATTACATGTCACACATTTTCAATTTTTTTCAGCCAAGTATATTTCCAATACCTCTTTCCTAGGGTTGTACAACACTTGAATGAAAAGCCAGGACACAGAGGCAGGAAATATAAACAAATGTGCCAAATAGAACTTGTTCACGCTAACTTCAGGATCATACTTAAAGATCAGAGCAACATCTGTTCATGACATTTTAACACGTTACAAAAATATTCTTTGATAGTCGCATAAAGGAATGGCAAACCAATTGGTTGAAAAGCACTAAAATATAAAAATTATATAAAATCTCTCATATTAAGAAAACATGATTAATTCTTAGTCAAACATCTCAAATTTGAAACTTGTTTAAAAAAAGATTTTTTGTATTAACTGACCATTTATATTGTTAGATTTATTTAAGTTTATTAGAACGTTTTAGTGAAGTTAGAATTTGAACTTATTTTGTAATTCACACAATAGTTTAAAAAAAAAAGATAAGCAATTCCACTTTTTTGATAAGGGGTGATTTCATTCATTAATACCCATAACGAGTACAAATTACGTATAGGAACCTTATAAAAAATAAAATTACATTGGTGCTACCACAGGACTTGTCCAACAACACCCCAGTACTTCCTCTCCGATCGCCATCGACAAGCTAGGTCGAAGGAAGCGGAGCTGAGACATCCTCAGCTGACAAGGCATGGCAATGAAGGGCCATCACAATTTTTGAAGCCACTACCAGCAGCGCCTCAAAGCTGAAAACACGTTCACTAGATGTGGTAGAAGAAACCTTCCCTTTTTTTGAGGAAGTATGAGCAACAGCACCTCCGGCAGATCGGAGAGTAACCTTAACCAGGGGAGCAGATCGACCACCACCCCACCCATGATTAGGGGAAGCAAACCATACCTTACTACAACTTCGTCAAAGAAGACGATAGATGCCACATCCTCACCGTAGAAGCAGAGGAAGGAGCAGAAATCCCATGGGAACGTTTTGTCTGCACTGCCATGGGTAGAACTAACCCTAACTTACATATAAAGCTACTCATTAGGAGAGGGTATATACAACCAGTACCTGAGAAAATATCTAGATACCCGAGAAAGGTATCCAATTCATTATTCTACCCTATTCGAATAGTGGAACGGTTAGGAAATATCCATATCAATTAGACCCTTACACGCAGATCTATGTGTTTGGTTGGGGGGACGACTAGGGACGGGATGGGTTGATTCCCAATTTGATGGTGTTTAGTTCTGGGACGACTCGGGACGGGACCGTCCCTAAGGGGAATATTCCCCTCAGATGCGGGAGGCGTCCCCATCCCCAAAAAACGACCAGATGGGCACGTCTTCTTTGGACAGTGTCCTTGTCCATCTCACAGTCGCGCCCGCGCACTCGACGAGCGGCGCGGGCGGAAGCCTCCCCGTGTGAGCTCATTGGTCCCAAGCTCTCCTGCACCCCTTCCTCGACGAGCTCGCAGGTCCCGAGCTCACAGCGACCGGAATTCGCAAGGGAAGCCCAATCTTGCGTGTGCGTCCTCATCCTCAAGCTCTATGTGGGAGGCACGTGCGGTGTGGGGGCATGGCGGCGAGCTCCCATGCACGGCATTGGGCATGGCGGCGATGCCGCTTGGGTCCATGGGGGTCGCGTAGCGGTGATGCCGCTTAGGACCGTGGGGTTGGGAGGAAGATTTTTTTTATATAAAAAAGAAAAGAGATTGACACATGCGCCCAAATAGGGATTGTCCTATCCCCTCAACCAAACAAAAACAGGGACCGCCCATCCCTAGAAATTGGGTTGAGTCCGTCCCATCCCACAATGTCCCCAAAAACAAACACAGGCTAAAAGAAGTTCTTACATGCCTTCTAGTTCAAGTACACCTTACATACCAAAAAAAATCATTTGAAACTTCATGGATACATCATTAAATTAACACGAGTTAAATTAGAGAGGTACCTGATCAATTGCCTCTGTCTCAGCAGATTCTTTCTTCATCCTTAAATTCTGTATACCGCCCCTCCTATGATAGAGAAGTGCACAAAATAGAACACACAATATAACCACCTGAAGCAATTGCTGCTACAAATTACATGACCAAACAATAATAAATACCTCCCAGAGTCGTCCAAAGGCTTGGCATCATTCATTTCCACATCAGAATCAGCATCACGTCTTTCATCAGGATTCTCTTTGTCTTCATCTTGCTATAACAAACATTAACACAAATGAGTCACAATATGTTGACTTAATTATTTGCGAGTTACATACAGAAAGCTCCTTGGGTCGTAGACTCCTAGTGGCAGCCATGGAGATGGGATGAAGCTTTTGTAGAATTTTTCATTTGTATGCACCAAGGAATTACATATTTCATTAGGCTATATTTTTTGTATTTATTGGGTTGCAATATCCAAACTTTTAAGTTGTTCCAATTTTGTAGATGCACTTCATGGCAATTCGATTATCTTTGGGTGTGTGTTGCACATATGTTAAGGGTTCTTTTATCTTTCCCTTCTTTTTCAGAGTTGTAATTTTTGCTTTCAAAGGTGTTGTGTAGTTTCTCCACACAGTTGCACCTTTGCAGCAGGGACTGCACTTTTAGAATGACACCAGACTTCATCTGTCCTCCATCTGTTTGCGTTGTGGGTAGACATGGTAGAGTACATGTTCTTTACACTGCCCCCTTTTCTCATTTTCTTGCAGTTTTTGCAGTTCAACTGGTGGTCCAGACGTCCAGTCCGGTTTCTAATGCAGTTCCAGGCATACAAACAGAACTATACAACAATAGGCAAGAAAATAGCAGAAAAAGAAATGCCTGCAAAACTATGCCAGCATGAGCAGGACAAAACTATACTGGCCTTAGGACCAGGATTGTTTGACCAGAGTATTTTTTGTTATTTGCCCAGAAAGAAAGCAGAAGAAAGCAATGTCATTCTCCATATAATTTAAACAGTGTGGTGCTATATATTAGTCACAATTGTCAATAGCCATTTCCCCATCACTAGTTACTTGGGAGTTGCTGTCCAAGTTATCCTGGGGGGCTTTCATTTTTGCTGTGGCGCAAATTTCTTTTCTTTTTAGCTATAAATCTTCCACTACATTTCCAGATTTTCTTACTAATTCTATTCAATAGAGTTTAGTCTGTGCAATTATTCAGTCCTGTCCACAACAACTCTACTAAAGATGGCCTTATCTTTGTGCCTGATTTATTTTAAAGGATAAACAAACATCATCCAATTAATTTCTCGCATGTAACAGAATCCTCACCTCAGGTAACTCAGCCTCAGGAGGTCGCTCTTGAAATTGAACACTAGGAGCATGTCGGAGTTTTGAAAGATTATCTAGAAGTTTTGATTTTATATCATCCAATTGATGCCGTGTGTTTTTATTCTCCATGTTACTTGGAGCGACATGTAGAGTGTAATCTGGACCAAAATACTCATAGTACTCATTAGGTGGCATCTTGTCAGTGAGCTCATGACCAAGGGCAACTCCTGTCTGCTCAAGAAATATGAAAAAACAGTAAGAACAGTTATTCAAAGACTTTGAATTGGTGACATTAAAAGGCATACCAGAAATAACAATAGTGGCCTCAATCACTCAACAACATTAAAAAAATATAATGGACTGTGCAGAAGTTTAATTGTCTTGTCTAGAGCAGTGACTGCATGACTTAGAACTTGGAAGAGATAATCTTTGAAGAAAAAAATAAGTGTTTGGTTAACACATAACCTATTCATATATAGTTAAAAATACAAAGAGCCTATAACGCAGTAAATAGCAAAAAATATTTTTTGTGACATCTTAGTAAATTTAAAACACATCATGAAAACTATTTACAAAATTAGGTAACAACACTAGTCAGCACTCAGAAAGTACAAAGTAGACAACGGCATGGTACGAATAAATTCTTTAAAGCAAGATGATGCATGCCAAAAAAAAATTACAGAAACTATTGTACTGCATAGATAACTAATTAAAAAAATATCATCCTGGTATTTCAAATATTGCTCTGATATATCCTAAAAATCAAAAACATATTAGGGTAAATTAAAATATCCTAATAAGAAACTGAATTTGGAACACAGCTAGCAAACATAATATGTAGATTACTTTTACAAACAGAAGGTAGATTGTGTTTACTGGGTTCATAGCACAAACACAAGGGGAGACATGGACAGCAAAAAATGTAGATGGTGCTTTGAAGTGGGCAAAAAGGGAATGCTAGCAAATCAGTTACCGATAAAGTTACAAATCAACAACACACATGTACTAAAAAAACCTTACATATGAAGTTGGAGAATACGGCATTTGTATCACACATGCCTAACATGATTTAGAAGGCTATTTATTTGTATTTGAAATATTACTTTTATGTGAGTATTCAAAAACTCCAACCACTGTACCAATCGTCCTGCATATTCTAGGCAGTGAGCGCTACAACTGTTGTTTGTTATTCTATTAATTACAATAACTTCATTGCAGTAAGGGGGAAGAAGTCTTACAAAGTGTTACACTCACAGTATACTTAACATCAAATAATTAATCAGACAAGGTTATTGGAATTAATAGAACAACAAACAACAGAAAAGTGGAAAGGCATAACAAATGTGGGTTTTCCCCCATGAAGGAAACTCCCCTGTTACATACCTCATAGCACCAACACCGTGCAACGTTCCTTATGGTATACCCACCGCCACCAAGCAGCAACAGCGGGACGTTGAAGGACCTCATAAATCTTACACATTCTGCGTGACCCTTAATAGAGAGGTTGAAACAGCCCAATCTGTCACCCGACAATGAATCTGCACCACACTGGAGCACAACTGCACCAGGGTTGAAGACCTCCATCACCTTGCCCATTATTGGCTTGAACAACGACTGGTAGCTCTCATCATCAATACCATCGTCCAGCGGAACATTCAGGGAGTAATATTTACCCTTTGAGTGCCCAACATCACCAATGTCCCCTGTCCCAGGGAAATAATCCCCAAACTTGTGGAATGAGACCGTCATCACCCGGTCTGTGGTGTAAAAAGCCTCCTCCACGCCGTCCCCGTGGTGGATATCAATATCCACGTACAGAACGCGCTACAATGCAATTACAGTTCACAAAACATGGGTAATTCTATCCATCCAATCCAACTACAGATTCAAAAAATTTCAAAAATTCGTAGAGGTTTGGAATACCTGGTGGTACTTGAGTAGCTCGAGGATGGCGAGGACGATGTCATTAACATAGCAGAACCCGGAGGCCTCGCACTTCTTGGCGTGGTGGAGTCCGCCGGCCCAGTTGATGGCGATGTCATGGCCGTGGTTGAGCTTGACGGCGCCGCCAACGGAGCCCCCCGCGTAGGTCTGGCAGAAACTGTAGAGACCGTCGAAGACGGGGCAGTCCTCGCCGACGTTGAAGCGCTTGAGCGCGCGGATCTGGTCCTGTTGCGTCTCGGGGGTGACGGAGCGGAGGAAGGCGACGTAGTCGTCGGCGTGGAAGCGGCAGAGGTCGCGGTCGCGGGCAGGGTGAGGGCGGAGCACTTGCATCTGGTCGAGGAGGCCGTAGCGGCCGAGCAGCGCGTGGGTCATGCGGATGCGGTGCGGCTTCATCGGGTGGCCCTGCCCGTAGTAGTAGTTGCCCACCTCCGCGTCGTAGAAGTAGCAGACGCGGCGCTTCGACCCGTCCGCACCAGTGGTCGGCAGGGAGTTGCCGCCGCCGCCGGCAGACGCGTCCATCGCCGGATTAGCGCCGGCGCTTTCTCTTCGCTTACCGCCGGCGCTTTCGGGTTGGATATTTTTTTCGTCGGGCACTAAAGGCGCTAGGCGCTCGGCGGCGGCGTGTGGGTTGGGACCTAGGGACCGACCGTAGGATCCGATGGGGTCCGGGCATATATATTTAGCGTGCTCGTACATTCATGGGAACGGCTAAACTTTTATATTAAAAATATATGGATCATATAATAACATAATAATATTATAAAAATAAATACTAATATTAAAGTGATATTTAATCTAAACAATCAAACTACCAAACTATGGTGGTATTTTATCACATAACAGTGAATTTTATGGACCGGAAAAAGAGAGTTCTCACTAAATCCTTCTGCAGCCACCAAATTGTCGCGACAAACGAGAGTAGTGCTAAGTGAGTACAAAATTGCACAAAAGCTGAAGAGCATTCAGAATCCTCGACCCCTGCAATCTGCTCTCTCACTACCTCTTCCAATTGAATAGGATCCAGAAGAAATGAAGGAACAATATTAGTCGATACAAGCAAATAGCAATATATTAAGATAAGTGGTAAATTAGAACACTGAGTGCTTAGATTAACTACTGGGCATCTACCAAGAGGAGGCACAGGAAGGTGTTTTTTGGTTGAAGAAAATGAAAGCAATATCAACCTGCAAGAATCGAAGGACAAGACGTCTAGGACCCTTGCACTGCCTCCCGTGCAGCTGCTCCAGCGGCAAGACCTTCACAACAACGTACAACAATGTACTTCGACCTTCTGGTACCAATCCTCTTGCTGTTGCACCACCACTGCTGCTATCTTCGACGAACAGGTCGCTGATCAGCTACAAATACTTAAGGAATTAAGTGTTCTGATATTATAAAAAAATCATATCAATAATCTCACATGCAAATAAAAAAGGAGTGCATAAGTAATAATATGGTAGCATCATCTCACTGTGTGTTCGCAGTACCCAATCATGTTGTAAACTAACTTGCTACGATGGCATTTAATCAAGGCCCTGTTTAGTTTCTAAAAAGTTTTCCAAAAAATGCTACAGTAGCCATCACATCGAATCTTGCGATACGTGCATGGAGCATTAAATGTAGACGAAAAAAAACTAATTGCACAGTTTAGTTGGAAATCGCGAGACGAACGTTTTGAGCCTAATTAGTCCATGATTGAACACTAATTGCCAAATAAAAACGAAAATACTACAATAGCCAAATTCCCAAATTTCACGAACTAAACACAGCCCAAGCAAGAAATATGTAACAATGCAAAACAGGGGTTGGTGTCCAATAATTGAGCTATAATTGGGTAAATGGATATAATGTTCACTCCACAGAACACCATATAAATATTTGTGAATGTCAATAATATCAGTAACATACAGAGAAGACATTTTGAAATACTTGCATTTGCCTGTACAAATTTTGCCTATTGACTCATGCCCCCATGGATCAATATCAAGGATCAAACTAAACCTTTAGTTGCTCCATGTGACTTGCCATCTCTAGATTAAGCCTCCCATATTCTGCTACTGTCAACTGAGCTAACAATTCCTGCTTCCGCTTTTCTGACTGAAAGATACACACAAAAAAAGCAAATGTGCTAAATAAAGACTTAGGAACCGATAACCACCAATTCTAGAGTGAAAGCACTTCATAGTTAGTATAGCATATGAGTTATCAAAAAGAAGAACTATAGCATGCCAATTGCATAACGATCAGAGAGTAGCACACTTTGTACTGAACAAACTAATCCTACAAAGTAGCAGAATAATAGTACAAGGTTACAAGCACTAACTAATAAGGTTATGTGCTCCTATGTACTACTGAAAATCAGGATAGCACTATCATCATCGCTGAAAAAGGTAGCACGAGGTCAAGCTGCTTTTTATCTATGCTTCTTTCTAGCATTGTAAACATTTATCTACGCTAACTCATTTGCCCTTTACGTCAATTTAAGTGCTGAAATCATTTCTGACTGATCGTAGTGAGAATCTAAGAGCAATATGTCATAGCCCACTGATCGAAGTGTTGTACCAGGGTTCCAGTGCAAGGGACACCTGAGAAAATGACACTACGAGCATGTAAGGTTAAATCACCTGCAAATGAAACATCAGGGCTAGATCAGGCAAGTCATTCTGCTGCTTACCGTTTTACTTGTTAAGCAAAGTCTAATGATCTCTGCATTGCCAATCATAGAAAATAAAATCTATCAAAACAATGTTAAACTATTGGCTTATATATATCTCTTGTGTTGGACTGTGTTATTCCAAGTTGGTGGGCTCCAGTGGAAGGGACACCTTGAGAAACTATGTGTTTTAGCCTCTATACACGCGCTTGAATATGGTTATGTAAAATAATAGTGTGAAACCATCCTAATGCAGCTGCTCGCTATTTCATTTGACAACAGCAACTGACGACAAAATCATAAAAATATTTTAGGCTATTTGAGAATGTGCAAAATCATACAAATATTTTATATGTTCTGGCTGCAAAAAATATCTTATTTCCATATGTTCAGGCTGACATGACCTATGACAAAACCATACTAATATCCTACTCAGTTTTGCAAGGAACCCACACTGGAAGTAAACTGTCAGAAGCAAAAGGAGTGCACAAGACTGGTTGAAGTTGTTTTCCCCCAGAACTAAAGATATTCTCCCAGCCTTGACATTGGACAATGAATACGTCAAGCATATATTGTAATTAGCATATTACAGTAACTCTGAAACTACAACAAGCAACAGAAAGGTGGTTGTATCATGGGAATGCTCTAACTCCAGTAACTTTGACACTGCGGCAGCAGAAAGGGGGTTATATCAAGGGAATCTAATTTCTTGTGCACTAAACATTTTGTAGTGTTAGAAAGATACGACAAGATTAGCTAGGGTTATAAACAGTAACAATTCGTGGTTTTTTTCTATTAAAAAAATCTGATTTCAAGTGTAGAAGCAGTGCCTTGTTGTCCAATTACTGGATGTTCTTAAGCACCTGAACCTCATCAATCTTATCTGCTACTGCGTAGTGGATTCAAAAACAGGTAAGCATAGGAAAAAAACAACTCTGAGTTTTCTCTACCAGACCATATCGTTAAGTAACTGATGGATGAGCTTTGTTTCTTCGATATGCTTTTAAGTAGCTGATGTTCTTCTGTTTATCTAGGAAAACTCAAGACATCCACTAATTCATCAAATGTGCAGCCATGATAAATCTAAGATTGATCCAGTAACTAATTTGCACATATATATACAACAACCTAGCCCATACAGGAATGAGAAAGGCACAATTTCAGGCAAATGAATAAAATTACTTAAACTCAGTTTTTGACTCTACCATAGCCTAAATAAGATTGTGCATAACCATGCCGCACTCTGGTAAAAGAAACTTAAAACAGAGGTGTTCCTACATATGTGAAGTTGCGATTACTGTAAGATGAGGCATACTTGTACATTCAGTGAGAAGGTCACACAAATAGGAATATTCAGTGAAAAAGCATCATGATTAAAAGAGCTAAGCCTATCGTTGATGGTCAAACACACACATATGACTGGTCATATATCAAGAATTTGAAAGATGTTTATATAATAGTGTCAAGTTTCAATACGCACCTGCACAAGCTTGAGATCTGTATTTACGAAGAGTGGTCTGCACAGATTAAAAATTAAAGAAAACGTTAAGTGAATATTACCAAGGACTTGTCAGTCTGCATAAACAAGACAAGCGAGGAATGTAGGCATAAGTAAATTATGCATAGACATAAATGGATAAAAACCTCATGAAATTGTTTTCCCAAAAGGAATAAGTTTTCACATGTTACATATGGCTGATGACATCAATTTTGAGATAGCTCAAATTTGACCAAAAAATTATAATTCTCTAAAAAGATATAGAATCATAGCAATATAGAGATTCAGTTAACAAACGTCCATGTGGATTGAATTGGTACAACCTATGGGAGCTCGATATGGGGGTGCATGCAAAGGTATATCTGACAACAAAACAAGTTCTGTTACATTTGCAGTATAGTGCTCAGAAAGCAAATTGGTTAACCTGCTTGGCACTACTTTTACATATGTCTAAATTTGAACCTACAGAAGTGATAAATTAGAACACTCATAATTTTCAGATAACTTATGCCTGGACCGAATTTTTTGAAACCTTAATTTGGCTGAAGCGCATGAAAACAGTAGCACAAATTGCATTAAGCCACAAAAAACAGTAGTACTCTTCTATAGCAAACTACAATTGGCAACTCAGTGCCTGACTCTGCAAACTACAGACCTGGCGATGCCTGCAGCTCTGGCCTCTGGTGAGCGTCGTGGATGTGCGGCAACACAAGCAGGTCCCCCTTCGTAGATTGGTGCCACGGATCAGGTGTCGTGGTGGCTGTGCAGCGTCTTTGAAAGGGATCGAAGTTAGCATGCATAATACATGTAGGGTCATGTAATTAGATCAAATCTGAAGACAAATAGCCAATTAGTTTTAGGGTCTGGTTGCTCCGTTTCGCACAGCACGAAGGGAAGAGAAGGGGTTGGCACACCTGGTGGTTCTCCTCGCCGGCAAAGTGCCAGGTTATGACCTGGAGATGGCGAAGGGCCCAATGAAGACCTGAGTAGGATGGACCTGGTGGCGTGGCGCGAGGCCTCCGGGTGCACGATGTTTATGAAGGCATGCGGGGGCAAGAGAATGTACGAAACAAGAAAGTATGGTGAATCTACATTAACAGAGAAAATGAAGTAAGAAGATATAACCACAAACACAATAATGGGATTTTCTTGTTTCATCCTTGAACTTAAAGAAAATATCAGAGCAATTTTGTTCAAGCTAACAGTGTATCATTTAAAACTTTTTATGACCTTAATGCTAACACTTACAGTAAAAAACAACATGACAAAAATGATGTCAGGAAAAAACTGACCATGGACAGCATGATCAGAATGGTGAGAAATTATTTCGCAGGAGAAGGTTCAGAATAACTAAGTCATAATTATATG